TTTACGTTATTAGCGAATAAAGACAAATGGACATATAATTCTGACTCAAGGCCCTAAAAGGGGTAAAAAACAAACATTTTGATGTTTTTAGATGATCAAATTAGAGAAATTCTTTTTCCTTGCTTGAGAGTTCAATAGGCTAATCATGGTTTAATAATGATGATTGAAGGTGATCTAGTAAAACTTTTCTGTTTAAAACAATTGTCAGTTGAATCATGGTAACCGCATTCTGATGTGTCGCAGGGATGAACCATGGGCCTGTGATAGCTGGTGTCATCGGAGCTCAGAAGCCACAGTATGATATCTGGGGCAACACCGTGAATGTGGCAAGTAGGATGGACAGCACTGGAGTCCTGGACAAAATACAGGTAACGCGTCTGCATGGTCCCCATGGGCCATGTCTGTCCTCTGGGAGCCATTCGTATGTATACTGATAATTACACTAATATATGAAGACAAAGGAAAGAACCCTGAACTGTACTTAAATCTTGAAAAACCTTGAGAGAATCTTGAAGAAAGCTTGACATTGACTTAAATCCTTTCATTGGGGAAATGTTAATTCATTTCTGCGTTAACTATTAACAACAGTAAAAAACACTGTAATGCTGTAAAGGTCATTGCAGTTGTAAAAGCAAGTGGCCACAGGACCAACATGGCGTAGGACGGCAGAGGGGGAAGCACAGGATGGAGTCCTTCCCGCCTCTCCCTTCTCCCATCACAACACCTTGCAAAGGGCTTTGCGAGGGAGGGGGCGGTATGATTAAACCCAGACCTCACCCCCAGCCTCCCTCTCCCGGGGGGCTGGACAGGGAGGAGGAATGAGGGAGCTGATCAGGGAGAGGAAAACATGGAACCCCGGGCGACATGAAATGGCAGCACGGAATCCGACACACATGGGCTTTCGAGATATAGAAATGACTGGAAAGATCTGGACTCCACCCAAGGCATAGAAAGAGAAGACCTGACAAAGGAAAAGTGGCAGGGGCTGCGTGAGTGCCTGGGCACAGAGGCGGACATGTGGGACCAGCGAGGGACTGTCTCCACATAAGAAGGACGTGCGTGCATGCGTGTCTGGGCCTCACCCTCAAAGAGCAGTGGTGCCTCATTTCACTGCAGCCATGCCATGTTCTGCAAGATAAGGTCCTGCCACACGGGACATTTGTGTGCAAGTCACTGGGCACAAATTGTAGGCTTGATGGGTTTTTGGTCCTTTCGGAGAAGTCCCTGCTCTGTGTGCCTCAGCTCAGTCAAGGTCCTCAGATATCCTTGCTTCTTAAGACTGCAGTGGAGACTTAGGGACTGTATTAACTAACGTTTGGAAGACCATCAGCTCCAGAGCCACCAATAATAGGCTTTTCATGAAACCTCTGCTTTCTCACTTGACCCTCACGCTACACCACCTTGTTCCCCCAAGACGATTCTATTTCTGTGGCCTTTCTAGAGCATATCTTTAATGTTCATTGGAATTGGACAAACAGTACTTCTAAGTGTCTGCCCTCTTCCAGTCAGATTATTATCAACAGTTGTGGAAAAGCAAGCAACATCCAACAAAGAGAGAGAGAAAAAGGAAGTGATGGGGGGAGAAAAGGAGACATCCCGCCTTCCCAGCCAGACTGGCCAAACAGGGCATTTCTGACTGGGCTGGAGCCATGGTCACACTGAGGACTGCCCCGCTGCCCACCCTTGACAGGAATGGTCTGCCACCTTGGCAGCCTGGTGTCACCGTGCCCTGATGACACCACGGCTTCTAGGGCTTTCTGCATGCACGTCACTACCCGCCCCTGGTTCTCAGGGAGGCCCAGGAACCCTGGACCACCCAGGGTCTCCTGTTCCACTGGAGAGGGAGGCACGCTTCTGCCAGTTACACACTTTGCCACCTGTAGGTGACCCTATGCCCCCACCTTAGACCTGTAACATTCAGAAGATGGGTGGTGGTTTTAATGAGCTCCACAGCTCTCCCAGCGGTCTTCAAGCACTTGAGATAAGCATCAAAAGCCACTAAGAGAGGCCGGTCCAGGAGAGCGGTCCCTCCCAGAGGCCATAAATCCCCTGCAGGTCCACCTTTAAAGTGAGCCTGAGCTCCTGTATATCTCTAAGGTGATACCCAGTGTCATAAAACCGCATGTGGTTTAGTGCAGAGTGGCCACCCGGAAGGCCTGTGTGCACCCTGAGCCCCGGGGAGGAAGGAAGACCGGTTTCTGCAGGTCGAGAGTGAGGCGCATCCACAGGCCCGCGTGGGCTCGCTGGGCCCAGCAGCTGGCTGGTTTGCAGCTAGTCGGTTTCCTTCTCCTGCAGGAGGAGCTCACTCTGGCTCCAGTAGCCTCTCATTTCCACTTATGTGCAAAAGAAAGTAGTGAGATCCAGGAAAAGCAAAAAATGATGCAGAGGCCATAAAAAGCTGCTTCTGGGCCAAAGGAATGGGGTCTGTTTATCAAACAGCATGGCACGCCCACCGTGCTTTCTAGCCTGGAAGCCCACTGGCTGCCCCGGCAGGCTGGCCCTGGGCATGGAGGAGTAATAGCTGGTGGTAATCGGGGCGACAGATCCCTCCTCCCCACCTGCGCCGTGATAACTGTATGGCTGGTGTTACAAACACCAAAGGGTCCCTCGAGAATGTCGGTGGTGATGCTCAGCACCGGTAGATACGCCAACCGTAAAATTAGCCTCCAGGCCCCCCGTGTGCTCGCTGTCCGTGTGGAAGGAAGGTCGGCAGCCCGGAGCCTCTGTCATTCTGAGTTTCCCAAGATCTCTGATCAGGAGAACATGTTTGTCACCTGCGCTCCTGGGCTGTGTCCATGGTCTCTCAGCTCTTATCCAAATCCAGGGTCCCTTCTGTGCTGCGAGCTTCAACCCCAAGCTATACCTGTGCTCCTGAGGGACTTGGGCCCAGTCAGGGGAGACCGGGACTGAGCATCTGCCACCTGGGCCCCCTTTTCCCGCCTGCTCTGCTCTCGTAAGGACCTGCATGCTTGTCCCTGAGCGAGGGGCTGGCCGCAGGGTCACATCACAGGAAGACAGAGGATTTCTAGCTCCTTCCCCCAGCCCACCCTTGAGATCTTTACCCGGAACACGTCAGCCTGCCTTCTGGGAGCCCCGGATGGGTCCTGGGCTCTCGTAAGCACAGCCCTCCTGCGGTTTTGATGCACGCTGCCCCAGGACATCGTCTGCACCCAGGCCTCTGCAGCCCCCAAGCCCAAGGAGGAGGCTGGCTCATTGCTGCCTCCACGGCCCCACCACGGCATCAGCCCGGCAGTGCCCAGGCCACAAACACCACTGTGTGATGGCCTTGCTATGTTGTCCACAGCCCTGCCTGCCACAGGCGTGTCACCCACATGCCGTGGGTGGGGGGCCCACAGGTGTCACGTCCGTTTCCTCTCATGAAGTGGGAGGAAATCCTTCCTCTGCTTTTGTGGATGGTTCCAAAGCTCAGCATTACCAGGGGCTTCTGGGAGAATAGCTCCCTCCCTGTCTGCTTCAGACCCAGATCCCCCCTAGAGGGGCCTGGCGGGGGGCCATGTCCCTGACAGGTAGGTCTTCCCTCACCTCGGAAGCAGAGATCTCGTTCTTAGTCAGGCCTGTGCATGTCACCATTCTCTGCTTGAGAAAACGGCTCCTGCAGGAGGCTCCTACGACACTCACGCAGCCAGACCCAGGTAGGCCTGAGTTGCCTCCTCCAGCCATGGTCCCTCGAGGAGTCCACCGGGCAGGCTCACGCAGGCTCAGTGCAGGACGTGGCGCCTCCCAGTCCTACCTGGCAGGTGTCCCTGCTCTCTGACCCAGCAGGACCTGAACATGATCAGGCAGGTAGAGTCCTTGCCTCTTGGTGAAATGGCAGGAGATCGGGAGGCTTGTCACGCTGACAGGCTGCAAGGGAGGTGCTCACTCCATTTCGCATCCCAGTCAATCCAGGGAGTTGCGGAAGCGCTAGGACCTGACCCAGGGTGCCATGTGCATGTGAAGCCAGTGCGGATGCCTAGTGTCTTTAGTTTTAGGTCATTTGATTCATGTGCATGAAACCTGACACTCGTGGCCATTTGCAGGAGCTGATAAGTATTTAATACTTGTGACATTCATGATAATTTGTAATCCCACCAGTCCAGCATATTTTGATTTACGTTTTTCCCAGGTCTCTTATACATGCGTACTTAATCTTCCCATGGTTGAAACCATAGCCGGATCCCAGCTTAATTCTTCTTTTGGGGGCTGAGACGGTTCTGCACGATTCCCTAGTCTCATCCAGGATATTGACATGATCGCATCATAGTTTTCTTAACCCTGGAGATTGCTTGAATTTTAAGTGTTTCCACTTTTTTTTTACTATCACAGCACTGAATTAAACATTGTCCTCAGTTTTTGTTTTTGTTTTCTTCTTCTCATGGATTAGTCTCTCTTCTACTGATTTCTCAGGAGTGGAATTAATAGATCCAAGAACATGAATGTTTTGGGGCTCTTTATCCTTATAGGCAAATGACCTTTCAAAAGGGTTGTGCTAATATTCATGCTAAATGCTTGTTCACTTGTCGACATGCTTCTAGGTTACGGAGGAAACGAGCCTCGTTCTGCAGACGCTGGGGTACACGTGCACGTGTCGAGGAATCATCAACGTGAAAGGAAAGGGGGAACTGAAGACGTACTTTGTGAACACAGAAATGTCAAGGTCCCTTTCCCAGAGCAACCTGGCTTCCTGAACAGGCGCCTTCATTTCGGCAGGAAGACTGTATTTTTGGGGAGGTACAATGCACTTTCTGACTGCGATCCTTGTCCCTTGTTTTCGATGTGCGTGCTCTGTTCTGTCCTCTGGAGCCTCTGCAGACTCATTCCTGTGACCTGGTGGCATACTGTTCGGTGTCTGATGTGTGCCCAGATTGCTCTGCCACTTGCACTGTGCTCACTCCTAAGGAGAAGGAGAAGGATTGTGTGATGGAGGGGAAAAGCCTTCAAAGGACTCACATGGATGATAGAGGTGAAACACACAAAAATTCTTAAGGCAATAAAACTAGGGGTGTATGTTATCTTCAGGTGCATGTTCTTTTTGGGGAAATATGGTAGCTCGCCAACCGCATCTGCTAGTCTGATATTAAAACACAGTATTTGTGAATAAGTTGATTCTGTCACCCCACATGGAGTCTGACTGTGTCACCAATGTGTCTCATTGCCAGTGGCTGTCCACGGGCCCCAGGCGGGATCCGTGGCTCTGTCACCTTGCTCTGCTGTGTCGTGCCAGCAGCACGTGGCCACCCATCACCAGAATTAGTTCTCACAACCTAGGACCAGTTTTGTACCAAACGCGTCTGATGTTTTGATGCCATTGTCTTTTGTAAGGTTAATTCATTAAAAGTTTTATGTACTTTGGTTTGCAGTGTCTGTATCCTGCCCCACCCCCAGCCCACCACCACCACCACTTCCTTCTTTCTCCTGTGGTTTGATCCAGAATCAAGGCTTGTTTTCCAGTCATTCTCCCTGTTGACAGTTGTTTCAGAAAAACACTATCCAGAAGCAAAGGTGGGGATGTCCCTGAGTCATTTCAGATCAGGACAAAGTTTGTGACATAATTGATTATGCGGCTCCCTGGAAAGACCGGAAGCATGCTCCGTGTGTCCAGGGGTCTGCTTTTCATTTTGGCAACTCTGGAGAGCATTTTCAGGGGGAAATATTTTAATAGTAAAAAGATTTTCTACTGGCAACAGCACCCCTCTGTCGACACACTTCTGATCTACCATAATCCTTTGATAAGCTATCAGGCACAGGCTGCACAGGGATAATTTAGGACTATGCAAATTAGCAATCACAACAGTTTGAATAAACCAAGAGAAATTGCCAAACCCCACAAGCCACCCTAGTATGTCTAAGGAGGCGTTAAGAGCCTTGAAGATAGACGACCTCACAAATTTGATTCTAGAAAATCCAACTCTAAACTTTTGGTTTTTTCTTCATATAAAGAAGTCATGCCTTGCCAAAGGGTGAAAAATAGCACAGTCACATGTGATCTAACGTTTAAAAGCAAAGCTGCAAACTCCAGCCTGGGTGTTCAAACGCGATTTCCTTTCCTGGCTCGGGCAGGCGTGTGTCAGAGGCGGAGGACCGGGGCTCGTGGCGGGCAGCCTCCTCCTGGGATCGGACTGGAAGTCTGAGCCCTCGCTTTCATTGCTGGCTCTGGTGTTTTGCTAGCTGTGCTACTTTGAACATGTGTCTCAGTTTCTCTTAGGATGTTTTCTCTATGGGCAGTTCAGGGGATCAGATCTGGTTAAGTGTGTGAATTAATGACTGAGCCAGCCTGGCAGGTATGGGGCTCAGTCCTGCCAGCCCTGGCACGGTGCCCTGGGGGGACCTGGCTCCATACTCAATTAAAAGGGCTTATGGAAACTAGTAACTGGCCTTCGTCACCAAAGTGGGGCCATAGCATGACATCTTCAATTGTCTTCCTCAGTCAGGAAGTTTCTGATCCTGTAATTGCAACTCAGCATTGGCCTTGATATGCCTAATTCTCCAAAAAGGTGACTGAAAGATGAAAAAGAGTATAAGGACATCTTTCTTCACTCTAACCAAAATCTGGACTAGGATGTCCCAGGGGTTCAGGGACTTCAAACTGGCCTTGTGTATCACCTCTAACAATGATTGGCAGCTGCACCTTGTGGGTTCTTCCTCCGAGGGTGCTTTTTGTCACCTGCCCTTAGTGGACACCTGGGCGATTCACCAAGCACTCTTAAACATGGCCCCCAACATGTGCTGGATTTGGTGAAAAGAACTCAAAAGAAGAACTGTTTTTTTCCCAAAGCTGTATCACCAGACTTATCAAACCATCGAGGTTTTTAAATCCATCAAAGTCATTATCAGAGTCTGCCTTGCAAAGGTCTGTGCATACACGGTGTCTCTCAAAGTGTGAACCCCTACCAGCAAAATCAACAGGACCTGGGAACTTGTTAGAAATACAGATGCTCAGGCCCCGACCCAGACCTGCCACGTCAGAAATCCTGCTGGTGGGGGTATCACGCTTCCTGTGTTTCAGATACTGATTTCTCCAGGTGACTCTGATCCCCAGGAGACCCCCTGCATTTCACAAATGAGGAAACAGGTGCAGAGAGGTCCAGGGGCTGTTCGAAGTATCCCAGGCAACCAGTGACCAAAACAGGACTAGAATGGAAAGCCACTTGTCCCCCGAAATCTGAAAGTGTTGACTCCTGGTCCAGGCTCCTTAAGCTCTTGCAGCCACAAACATTCCTGGGAGCAAATCCTGTAAACAAGAGGACTTGAAGTTCATTCCCATCAGCCCAAGCCCTGCCGTCAGTAGATGGTAAGACCCCTCCAAGCCCTCCTCTCCTCTCAGCTGTAGGAAGCCCCTCCCATGATAAACGCCGTGAGTCCAGGCCCCTTGAAACCGCGGTGGTTTCGGTACATCTGTTCAGAAATGCCTGTGCTGTTCTGTTTTCCTACAGACAGCAACCACTCTGCTTCCCAAGAAACAGTGACTAATGGTGGAAATGTGATAAATCAAAACAAATTGTTTTACTGTGTTTCTCTTTGAGAAGGTGACTAATGAGCATTCATGGATTGGCTTTACATTGTAAACGTCGAGTTGCCAAGGGACATCCATTTATGTCTGACACACTTGAGATCTTTTGAGACCTTGACCAACTCAAGCCCTGCTTTTTAACACTTGGTAGAAGGTTAAGGGAGTAGGATCTGACTTAAAGTAAATGAAAATAGTTGAGCTTGATGCTAACTTATTGCAGTTACTGTCAGATGAAGGCATTCCTTAGCGACGCCTTGTCTTTCTTGGTAATTAAGGCTGAAGAAAGAGTAATTTGTAAAGCTTTCCATAACCCAAACTTTATATATTTTCTATTATGTTAAAAATATGGTTGAATTCACCCAAAGGCATTCCAAATAAACTACCGCTGTTTGTTTGGAAAATAAATGAAAGGCACCTACAATGAAAAACAAAATTCAAAAGAATAAGGAAATATTTAGGAGTCACTCGGCCTTGAAATTACCAGCAATTTAGTGTCATGGCTCCTTAAAGAATCAAAATAATAAAACCAGCAATGGAGGAATGGGTATTGAAATTCATTAGACCCCCTGCCCATTAACTGCTCAGCCATGGGAAACCTAACCACGATAGATGAGGGATGACTTCTTCCAAGGGACCCATTCATTCAAAATATAGCCAATATCTTAATACTTGAATAATTTCCAAATGATCTACAAAGTAAACATTTCCAGCTTAGGTTAGAGAAGCGGCTGCTTCTGAAAGGAGAGCCGTTGCAGTCGCCCTCTCTGCAGCCCCTGCCCTGATCACGCCCCAGTGGCTCAGTGCCTCCCACCCCAGCTCTGCAAGCTTGGGAACCCCGCTTCGACAAGCAGCAAATGTGGGCTCACATGGGAGCAATGATTTGCCATACACCACGCAGCTGGGAAATGCAGAAGCCCGAATTTTACCCACGTCTGCCGAGCACTAAAGTCCAGTCTCTTCCCATGACCTGTGACCGGTTCTCCCCTGAGGAGTGAGAAGCCCTGTGAACGTGGAGAGCCGGTGAAGAAAAAGCAACCCAACTGCTGTGACGTGAGAACAAAGTTTTCGTTTTATTCAGGCGCTCACAGTGGGTCAGTCTCCAGCATCACTTCATCTGAAATCTCACGTGAAAACCGTCACCCTCGATGTTGGCCTTCAGTGTGAAAGGTGCTTGGCCAGGTCCTTTGCCAAGGCGACCTGAGGGAAAGCGGCTGCCGGCCACCATTCCCGCTGTCACAGCACCTGAGGCATCGGGCCAGCTCCTAGAGTCCGTGGGAAGGAACTAGCCGGCCCCTGCCTGCAGCCTCACTAGCCGGCCGACCTCCGGGCCACACGGAGGCGTCAGGCTGGGGAGATGTGCCCAAAGCCCGGCGCCTTCATGCTGGGGATGCCGTTCTTCCTGTAGAAGTCCGTCTTCAGGTGGCTGGCGCGGCCGTGGTCCCGGTTCAGAGGCTCCACGGGCTGGTGTATGCGCTTCCCGTAGACAGATGACATCAGCACCCCCACAGGCCTCTCCTGCTCCTGTCAGGGGACCAGAACACTCAGGTCAGCTCCCACCCGCTCCATCGGCACAGCTCAGCCATCCCTCAGCCTGGCATCTGGAAGTGGGTTCCGCCTGGCTCACCTGCACCGTCTCCGCCCTGGCTTCTTGGGGGCTGCCCCACGCTGACACTTGGGGGATCTCTGAACGAGGCCTGACCCTGCCCCTCTGCCCAGAGCTGTCCAGTCCTTCAGAGGACAGGAGAGATATTCCAGTGGGCGCCAGGCGCCTCTGACTTCAGGCTCATGTTCTCCTGCCTCCTGCCTGCCTGCCTTCCCTTCCACCTGCTTTCTCCCCAAAGGCACATCACCCCAGTCCCTCCCTCATCTCCTCAGACACCCCATCTCCCTGGCACCCCCTCATCTTTCCAGCCTGCCAACCCTTTCACTTTTCCCATCTCCTTAAAAGGCTTTCTCTGCATACTACTTATTACTACCAGGATTCATTCATTATTTACTTGGCTTTTATTTTTCTGTCTCCTCGTGGGAATGTCAGCTCGAGGAGGGCAGACAATCACCTGTTCTCTTTATGCTCAACAGTCCATGGGAGGCGCTCAAAACCTGGGACTGGATATAGGAAATGCTAGGCGTGCCCTTATGGGAGGAAAGCATTCACTTCTCTACCAACTCGGAATGAATTACCACATACAAAACAATAGAAAAACTGGTAATGCCATGACTCAGATGGTAAGACCTTACAGTACCTCCGTCACTTAATTTCACATCAGAGTAATAGCTTGCATTGAAAGTGACATGGTGGCATTCTTAAACTATTCTAGCCACGGGAAAAATCCAACTCTAGAAAGAAATCCCACCCAAAGCTTTTACATTCTGATTTCTGTGTGTCCTGTAAACGACTATGATGATATTAACTCAGCGCCCAACGTTTAATGATCACACTGTCCTCAGATCAGGCTTTGTGGGGACAATGTCCATGTGTGGAAAGGCAGCAGGGGGGTCCGGCCCAGCGGGCAGATGGGCCCAGCTACACCAAGGGGGACACAACCCCCTCACAAAGCGCCTGCTGCAATCCTGACTCCCTCACCCTGTGAGTTTTGTCCCTTCTGCTGGTCACCCACCTGTGCAGCTGCCTGCACGCAGAGCCTCCCTTTCAGAAAATCGTGTCAAGATAAACGAGGACTCGTGCTACCCACGGTGGTCGTAGCAGCCGGGACATGAACCTGAGAGATACAGTCCTGCCTGTGTGGTTTCGTCCTCGGAAGCCCAGTGTCCCTAGAACAACTGTGACAGCCTGGACTCAGAGGTTAAGCAAAACCCTATTGTTTCTGTTGGAAAGAACTTCTTAGTTTTGCTTTCATTTAATTATTAAATTCTACAGAACAGTCATAAAAATTAAGACACAGTAACATGACAGAATAGAGCAAGCGATACTCTCAACCTCTCGTCACAGTAAGATAGAGGGGAGCCCCACAAAGGCGAGTGACAGACACCCCTGGAAACGACATGAAATTATCACACACGCAGGGACTGTCACCTCTTGTTAACGCCCTGTTAACCTTACCTCCTCGTTAACACGAAGTCCCAGGCTTCTGGCATGTTCCCTGTCATCTCGGTGCAATTTCTGATTATAACCTGGGCTCTTCTTAAAAACACAGTCATAGAGGGAAACGACTCCTGTCTGGGAGGAAAAAGAGAAAGCAAGCGTGGGTTCATTTACGGGCACAGCCACGGAAGCATCACAGAGCTCGAAGCCAGCCCGCTCCCGGAAGGAGGTGAGCAGCTTGTCCTAGCTGCACTGAGGGGTGCCAGGGAAGGTCGCCCCCGAGCAGGGAGGCCAGGCCCCCGCCAGCCAGAGCAGGCTGCTGAGGGGCAGGGGCGTTTCCACGGGCACTGTTCCTCCACGTTTCATAGATCCCTCCGACACACGTGCTCCCCGCATTCTCTCAGACTCCATTGCGAGAGCGCAAACCTTAAAATGATAATCCATTTGATGTGTGTGTGTTTCTCCTTCACTTCTACTTTTCTTGTTTTCTCAAATTTTCTATAGTAAGCTTGTACTGCTTTGAATATTAACAATAAGTTGGATTCTAGGATAATATAAGCAAACAGAAGTCATCGTTTAAGTTACTCGCCACTAGAAGGGCTCTCTACCTGCAAATCCTTCTGTAGAGAGACAGAAATATGTTCTTTATTCATAGGTGGTAGTTAAAATTGTAACTGATATATATTGTGTCTATATATATATGTATTTGCTTTATATTACATATGCATATATATATGCAATATGCACATATATATCAATCAAACATATATATATACATATATATATATATATATATATATATATATATATAAAATACCATACACACAGCTGTGATATTTTAGAAAGTGACCCTGTTAACAGAGATATCATCTCCATTTTTCATCCCAACTTGTTCTTAATACAAAATAAATATGCCTGACTTGGCACCTAGTAAAAGAGAGACAAGTCCATGTGTTAGCTGATCTTTAATCTTCACCTTGTACGGCACTGATGTTCCTCCAGCCAAGTTCCAGCTGCCTCGAGCCCTCCAGCAGCAAACCCAGACATGCCGCCTCACTGGGACTTGGGGGCCCCGGCTCTGTAAGCTGCGCTTGCTCGTTTTTCTGTTTCGGTTTTTTTCCCCCCAGATAGTAACGCTAGAATGATTTCCTCTAACAGCAGGGCGCAGAGGTAGATGGTAAATGGGGAAGGGTGCATGACGTGTGCAGTCTGCTGGAAAACTCACACCACCCCTTCTGACTGCGGGAACTTGGGGCTGCTGGCAGTGACAGCAGTGAACAGAGTGAGATACAGCTGCAGCCCAGCCTCGACAAGTCATTCACAGGTCATCCTGTGTCCTGCGCTGCTTCTGCTGGGAGGTTCTGAAGACCATTCAGATGTGGCTACTGTCCTAATGCAATTAACCATCTCATAAGGAAAACAAGGCAATCTTTAAGAATTGTTATTCTAAGGTTCCTCAGAATACCTACGGCAACACACTTAGGGCACTTACTCAGTGACTGCTGGAGTCCAGCTTTGCCCAAGTTCAGAGTCACTCCCAGTGACATGAGGCAGGAGCAGGGGCCCCTGAGCCTGTGCCCCAGTGGCCATCTAATGATGTCGCCGTGCAGGAGTGTCTTCTTGGCACTATTCTCTCTCCCCCACTCAGCTCCTGGGTCTGGTCACACATTGGTCTGGCCAACCGTGACCTTCACCCCAACTGAAGGCAACTTAAACGATAGCTCATGCACTCAGAGGGTTAAAAAACACAAAGCCCGAGTCCGTGGAGAAGCGATACATTATTCAGTTTTGGGTACTGTGAAAATTGACTCTTTGGGGAAAACAATTAATTAATTTGGGTCTTCACACTTTAGACAAAAGTCATCGCTGGATGGATTAGAAAGGTAAGTGAAACGAAAACCTGTAAGGGACCAACACATCAAAGCAATGCGGAAAATGTCACAAAGAAAATACCAGTCACTTTGACTGTAAAAATCAGATTTTTGCTTATCAAATAAAATTCAAACTAAAACAGGCCCTTTAGAAAGTGAAAGCAAAATCTCCCTATCTTTAACATACAGTGTGTAGGGCGTCTGCAGACGCTGATGGGATCAGCTGGCTTCGGGCTGGAGAGATTGAGGCAATCTTGCAGCAGACCCTTTCTGGGTAAGCCTCCAGGACAGAGGCGCCAGCAGAACACAGTGGATGCGCACGCACAACCCCCAGCCTGCAGGGACGTGGGGGACAAATTCTCCAAAGGTGCATGCTGGCCTTCAGCCAGGGAGGCGCCGCCATGCAGACCTTCCCTGTGGCAGGCACCACCAGGAGCCTCCTCTACTCCTGACTCCACAGAGGATTCATCTTCCCCGTTCCTTTGGGTTAGTGAAGCCATGTGACCGGTTCTAACCAACGAACTATGAGTGGAGGAGACATTGACTTCAGGCAGAACCAGTGCCTGGGGACTTCTAGAAGCTTCATATTGAGATGTTTGTAGCTTCCATGATGACTGCTGAGTGACTATACTGGAAGAGCCACCCTTCTGATTCCTGCTGGACTTTTGGCACCAGAAATAAGCCTGTTTAGGCCATTGAGACTGGGGTTACTGCAGCATCACCTAGCTTATGACTAATGCAAGTGGACTACGAGGAAGAAGTACTGGCCTACCACCTCCAGTCCACAAGGGGGCGTCGCTGGGCTTTTATCATGGCCAGTGCCTCCTCCCAACCTGGCAAGCTCTCCTCCTCCCCGGCATCCACACACTCTCACACAAATAATTGGGGTAATATTTTGAGCAAACTGAAACCCAAGACCTGTATTTTCTCCTTCCTTAAGACTATTTTAAGTATAAATGAACTCCCATTGTTAAGTCTAAACCAGGTAAATTCTGCGAGAAAGGAGGAAACAAGAAAAAATTAATGCATTGTTCCATGGTCATCGGGCAGGGGTTATCCTATGAGCTCACGAAACACGTTTCCCCTTCCAGAGCAAACGGAAGACTGCGATGACCAGTTTCCATCACAATCAGGCTGCAGCAGGTGACGGGCTCTGGCGGGGAATGTGTGTGAAACTGATGGACACCACCTTCAAGACCTGGTCCGCGAAAAACTTCTGCCATCCACCAGGCTCTGTGTCCTTGTTCTCTGGGTGGCAAATTCAAAGCATGCCATAAAGGACTGCAAAGTCCCAAAGATGCCCAGCCCTGGCCACAGTGGCGGCAGCAAAGGTTTCCCGAGTAACTGCCGGGTTTCCCGAGCGATTGCATGAAGAAGCCGAGCCAGGAGAAACAGACATGTTTGGCTCTGCGTGAGAAAGGAGCAAACTTGCATTATGTTATGTTTATAATCTTACAGCCAGTGGTGTCCTTATGTTAATAATCAGGAGAAAAAAAAGCCTTGATTTGCAGACTTTGCTGATTTCTGTGGTGTAAATACTCCCACCATGGCCAATTCCAGCCTTCCTGCTGAAGGCAGAAGAGACGGGCTCTCCACAGTCAGTGTGAGCAGGCTTGGACACGCCACTCGTTAGGACTCGCCAGGTTCCAGGCCTACTTGTTTCCAGGGCACATCCTCACCCACCTTGACTGATACAGTAATCAATGTAGGACCAAACTCTGCTCATTTCCTCTCTTCATGGGCCAAAGTACTGTCACCTCTTCATCTTGAGGCTGTTACTGTCGGCCTATGAAGAGCTGTATGACCAACTTGTAAATCTGAAAATTCCCAATGTGACCCAAAGTGTTTCCTTTGACTCATAACCGTTTTGCTTCTGATAAATCTGGCGCTTCTCTTCAGGAGTCTAGCAGTGTTATCAAGCTTGATGAGGATATTTTAATTAAGCTGTAACATCATTCACGATTCTGAATCTCAGAAGGACTGTTGCTTGTCAAGGACACAATGTCAGCTTTTTTTAAAAGCACGACACTCACCTACTTTCTTTGGTTTGTCTGTCGCAAGCTTCTGTTTCCTCTCTGGTGGCCTACAGTCACAAGTTTTGGAAATGTTTATAACTTTTTGAATCATCCGAATATTTTACCAATTTGATAAGAACCACATTATAAGCAGTCTTAGTAAGGCACCATTTTCACTCCTTTAAATTGATTTCTTGTTGGCATGGTTGCCCAAAGCAGAGCCTTGAAACCCGTTGCCTGCACCCCTGAGTTGAAGTCAACAAGCCCCTCCCTCTGATCTCGTGTCTGCTTCATACTGGAGGTATGCTCTGAGTCAGAGAGCTCTGCATTAGGCCATCTGCCCAACTTGTCGCCAAGAGGAGACAACAAAGAGGAATGTGCCTAGGTTTTAAAGGTAAATCAGCAAAAGAACTGGAGCTTACCTGTCCTCCACAGCCCCAAGGGGCGGTCGAGTGTGCATGCCAGGTGTGCTTGGTGCCTACGGGAGAGAGGCTCCACCCAGGAGGGGCTGGGGAGATAGTATTGAACCCCTGTAGACAGGACCCTGGCACAGGCCCTCCAGAGTCTCCTTTGCACCTCTGGACAGTCAACATGCACAGTTATATTTACAAAGTGCTTAGCTGTATTCGGTGAGGGGAAAGTCAGTCACCAGGAAGGTAAAGAAACCGTCAGCCCCTGGCCTCTGTCCCCACCACACACGTAGAAGGAAAGTCAGCTAATCCCACCAAAGCTAAACTGGAGCTTTCTGAGCAAAGCCATGCTCACGACAGAGCCAGCCACCATCCACCTTAGCATGAGGGGAAGCACATTCTAAAACCACCTAGGAATTTTTTTTTTAATGTAGCATTTAGACAGAGAAACATCATCAAAACCATCATAAAAGGGCATTCTTTTTTAACTTAGCTTTTCCATTTCAGGAGCAGAAATGTTGCGCAAGGCAGAAGCAGCAAAAAGGAATTTAAAAACATGATTGAACGGAATTCACTTTGCTGCCCCTGGAACAATATTTTATAGGAAAAGCCCTTGCAGCTGGAGCCCCCTAGGGAGCAGGACAGGGGGTGGTTGCATTGTAGCCGGCAGCTTGAGGTGACATATTTTCTTAAGGCATTCCTGGGGCTTAAATAAGTGTGCTGCGTTGAGAGCTTTAATTTGGGGCTCCCTCAGGGGCGATGCCTTAGGGGATCAGAAGCCACCGGATTGACACTCAGGTTACCTGCCTCACCCATATTCATCTCAGAAGCTAAGGGTCGGGGGATGAGGCACTGCCCCGTGGAACCAACCCTCAGTGAAAGGAAACTCTAATACAGCACTAACAAAAGCAAACAATAGTAATAATAATAGCTCTACTTACACTGGGCTTACTATGCGCCATATTGTTACAGCATTAATTAAATTTGGTCTCATAAAGGCTCCGTGCAGCGGTACTGTTTGATCCCTGTTTCATAGATGGACAAAGTGAGATGGAGCACTTGTGACATGGACAAGCCACACAGCTGGTAACATGAAGCCAGTATTTCTATCCAGGACTCCTCAGCTGGGCCACTAACTCCCCACTAAGTGTGTCACATAGTAATGGACTTAAGAGTTCCTTCTGCAATGTTTCTTCTCAGGTTTGAGTGGGGCTTGGAATTTATAATGGATTTAGGGGCAGCTGAGTTCCCCCCTGCAAACCTGTGAGACAGAGGTACCCTTCTTTAGTCCAAATGATCTCAAGGTCAGAGAACCATCTTCCGGCATCCTGCGGCTGAGTAAATGCCAGCTCAGATCATTCTCAGGAGGATTTTACTTTCATGTCATTATTTCTGTTGCATCATTTGCTTCACGTGACACTAAAGGCCTCAGGATGTGAACTCGCCTATGCCCCAGCTATCAAAACTGCACTGAATTTTTTTCTTAAAATCAACTTTGCATTACTTTGCTCTAAGGCCCACATGACCTTCCAGAGGCAGCCATGCATCACAGCAGGGGTTGGCAGATGTTTTCTGTGAAGGGACAGTCACTGTTTTAGGCTTCCAGGTCACAGAGTCTCTGTCAACATTGCTCACCTCTGTGTGGAAGCCATAGATAGGTCTAAAGCAATGGGTCTGTGGCTGTGCTCTAATAAGTTCGTTAACACAGGCGGCGCCAGCTTGGGCCCAGGGTCTCCGTGCACTGACCCCTGCAATCGGGGGGCACACTTCTTGCCCACTCCTGATCTCCTGCCCAGCATGGAGCCCCAGTCACTTCATACCTTGCGTGTCTCCCTGCCCTTGGTTGATTTGGCCCCAGAAAGGTGGAGCAACATATCAGGCAGGTAAATTTTGGAAAAATAAACAGGGCTTGCCAGACTCAATTCTGCCCCTTTTCCCTTGGTAGTGCCTGTTGGGGTTCTGCTTAGCTTTTTCTGGGGCCCACAATTGAAGTGACTGGGTGGGTCACCCCATTCTGAGCTTTGTATCCCCAAACCTATTTGTCCAGAGTCCCTCATGGTATCCGGCAACCTGGCTTTTATCTGATAATTATGTAAACTTGGCCCCATCTGCCTAGTCTTCTCTTGTTTCCCAAGAGCCTCAAGGTGGTAATTGGTGAGGCCCCTCAAAGACACACACAGAATAGTGGACTGTGAATTTTTCCATGTCAAGAAGCCAGACAGGATTTGTATTCTCTCAATAAAACAACACGGACCGATGTACAGCATCCGGCCTCCTTGCTCTTGGGCTGGTCCTCTCATGCTGTGCACTAATGCTATGCATGAATCATAAACTAATTGGCAAGGATGTAGTGTTTGCATACTTAAAATGTGAAATTCATTTAATAAGTGAAATTATTTACAGATAAAAATGCTTCCAAGACATATTGCTCACAGGAGGAAAAGGTATGAGGTCCAGGTGGCAATGGGATTGGGAGCCATTGCCCCAGTTCCCCTTCCTGTCTTAGTACCTGGATATGTTCAAGCCTAGGAATCAGCAAACTGGGTTGCAAAGGCAGGTACACTGCGGATGTCCCCTTTCTTCGTCGTGTCCTTTTGTCCGTCCACATCGATCAAATCCAAGAGAAGAGGTGCTGACAGATACAGGAGATCCTCCTGGCTGAGGCTCTATGTTAGTCTGCTAGAGCTGCCAAAACAAAGCACCCAGACTGGGGGCTTAACAACGGGTATATATTGTGTTGCAGTTCTGGTGGCCAGAACTGAGATGCAGATGTGGGCAGGGTTGGTTCCTTCAGAGGGCTGTGAGGGAAAGATGGGCTCAGGCCTCTCTGTGTGGCTTGTGCAGGGCAGCCTTCTCCCTGTCTAGCCACGTCCATGCATCTGTCTGACCTGAATGGGGATTTACTGATTCGGGCTCCATGGGTTGTGGATGGAAGGAGGATGAGAAGGATGCATCCTGTGAGAACGTCTTGTAACGTTTAGGAAAAACAGCGGAAAGGAAGAGCTGACGCCTGACAAGTTCTGGTTTTCTTTTTCTTTGGCTTCTCTTCCTGCTTTGGCTGCAGGGTGACTTCTCAGACCAGCAGCCTCTTCTGGTGACTCGCACGTGCCTAGCAGGGCCAGGTCTGAATCGAGCAGCGCTGCCAGCCTCGCTCTCTTGGCAGGAGGCTGCAGAGCTCTGCCTCCGTGTCTTCCTTTTGCAGGTGGGCTTCTAGAAGGGTTTCCGTGCCCGCCGCAGGCAGGGCAGTCAGTGTGGCGAGGACTTCAGGCAGTAGCTGTTTCCTGGCTGCCCCAGGCCTGCAGCAGAGAGACCCCAGAGGAAGCCGTGCCGCCGGCGCCGAGGGGCCCTCCCCGAGATCCTGGGCAGAGGGCCGCCTGGCCGTTCCGGTGGTGGCGGTGGTGCTAGTGAGTTAGCAGAAGGCCAGCTGCTCGCCCTCCCTTCCCTGAAGAGCGCCGGGACCTAACCCAGCCCACATGGCTCCGAACACCGGGCTGAACAGCCCCACCCGCCGCGCGCGCTCCGCGCGCCCAGTGCCCAGCCCCTGGTCCCCGCTGCGCGCAACCCCACAGCCGCCCCTCCCCCGCGCATCCTGGCTGGGGGCGACAGCGCCCCCTCACTCTGGTGGTCGGGTTAGCGGAACTCTTCGGGGTCCGTCCCCCCAGCACGGGCCCCCGCCCCGCTGTGCAGCCCCCCGCGGCGCACCTCGCCCTGGCGGGAGTAGTAGCTGTGCTCCTTGGGGTCCGGGCGCCGCGGCGGGATGTAGCTGAAGGAGGAGAGCGCGCATAGGGGCAGCGGCCGGCACCCGCCGCGCAGCGTGGCGGCGGTGACCTCCTCCTCCTCCTCGTCGTCCTCCATGCAGCCCGCGCCCAGCGCCCCCGCGGCCTCCGTGCTGGGTCCTGCCGGATGGGAGCCCATCCCAGTCAGCCCTCCACGGGCCGCCCCGCGCCCGCGTTCCGCCAGGTGCTGGCGTTCCGCTGTCGCCTGGATACCGCGACCGCGCGACCTCGGGCTGGTGGGCGGGGCGGGGGCCTGAGGGGCGGAGC